TTGGTACAACTCCACAATATGTGCTTATTACTGCTGTAATCCAGGCTGCCACGTACTGGGCTTTTCAATGCGACCATACGTTTTTGCGCTTAACCTGCGTCAGTTTGATCGTTAACAGCATCCAGCGGTCTCTGCGTTACAGTCGTGGGGTAGCATGAACCCCCAGTGTGTATAACTATCAGTTTTTCAAAAAAATCGCGCTTTTTTTCGGCAAACAGTGGCTCATCGAAAAATGCAAAATAGACAGTGCACTGGATGTTGGAACAGAAATATTACGAAATCCGCAAAACGCAATCGCTTTTTAGGCCGTGATAAAAGTGAATATTTTGTGTGCCGTTGTGCAGGAAATCAAGCCTTCAAGCGCATCTAGATCGCACGTGAATATAGAAAATCCTTGCAAAGTTTCAGCCTCGTGGCTTGTCTAGTGAGCGAAGTAGTCGCTTCGCCAGAAATATATTTGAACTGCTTTAAGTCGTGCGAAAGTGTGAATCGAAACTCTCTAGGTATACGATTTCCCAGAATGATAAATATTTTGACTAATTTTCAGCTGCTGTTTTATGACCAGTTATCGATTTGCAGAGCGCGAAGTGTGAACTTTGACATGATTATACATGTGGCCGTGAATGAACTTTGAAGTGGCTGCAAAATAATTAAATTTGAAATTCTTGGCTCAAAATATAGACAAGGAACAATAGCGTGAAAATTCAACTTTCTAGTTTGAATGATTCTCAAGGTCGTTTTCTCGCCAAAAGATCTGCATGTTCTCGACTCCTGTATATGAGGGCCAGAAATACAGGGCGATGAATTTAGGTTGTAAAGATGACATGTACTCTGGGAACACGTAAAATTTCGGCCTACCAGCTTACCTGGCAGTTAAGTTGAAAGTGGGTGATAAAGCTTACTCCTCCCCAAAACGCTCACTCTGCGAACCTCTCGACAATATGCCTTTTTGCTGACAGTACCAACGCTATAGCTCTGCACAGCAAAAGAGGAGTTATGAGATATGTAGCGCGTGAAGCATAATGAGGCCAACGTACGGACTGGCCGTGCGAAAATGCGTTTTTTGCATAATTCCCCGCTGTTTTCTTCGCTACCGGCACCGGTTTTTTCGGCAAATGCTTTTAGCTAAACAAATTAAGACGGCTGCCAAAACTGGCAGGAAACACCCCCTTAAAATTTCAGCTCTCTAGTTTTCCTTTCTCTTGAGTTAGCAAATTACTGGAAAAAAAATTTCACGAGCTCATACGTGAGTACCAGGAATGCCCGACGTCTGAGTTTGAGCTCACTGACTTACGTGGACAGGGAACATTCTCTTAAAATTACAGCCTCCTAGCTTTCCGGTTCTTGAGTTAGCAACTTACCCGAGAATAACTTTGGTGAGCCCGTGCGTGGGTACCACGTATACTCAAGGGCTGGGTTTGAGATGAATGAGACTTAGGTGAATGGGGTATATCCTCTTAAAATTACAATCCTCTAGCTTTTCAGGTACTCGATTATCAACTTACCCGAAAAAAACTTCGGCAAGCCCGTACGCAGGTACCACGCTTACCCGGGGGAGCTCATTAATACCTACTTGGACGGGGAACATCCCCTTAAGGTTTCAGCTTTAGCTTCTCAGATCCCCGAGTTATAAACTCACCTGTAAAAAACTTTGGCGGGCTCTTACGTGGGTACTACGCAGGTAATGGCGCCCATTTTGGGGATTGGGGCCCGTACATGCATGTAGATTAAGTTCCCAAAGTTTCA